GTACAATATTCATAGTACATATTCACCTGCAAACTCTGTTATAAAAACGGCCATCTGTATATTATGCTCATAATTCTGCCTATAGTAATAGTACAATATTCATAGTACATATTCACCTGCAAACTCTGTTATAAAAACGGCCATCTGTATATTATGCTCATAATTCTGCCTATAGTAATAGTACAATATTCATAGTACATATTCACCTGCAAACTCTGTTATAAAAACAATCATCTGTATATTATGCTGTTGTACATATCTGTAAAAACCCTACTTATAGTAATATCCACCTGTATATTATATTCGGTACATATCCAGCTGTAAATTTAGTTCATAACACTAGTTATCTATATATTATATTTATAGGACAAATCTATTAGTGAAATTCTGTTTATAATTGTATTTATCTCTATATTTATTCAGTAGAAACCCATGTCCTGTACTTATAGAACCATTTTTTATCCTGCACTTGCTGCTATTGCACTTCTGGTTAGACCTAAACTGCATTTTGTTGCCTTTTACCTGTACCTGCATAATGACAATAAAGTTCAGTCTAATCTAATCTAATCTAATCTCCCATGAACTTTCTCGATAACAGACATCAAAACTGGTTTTGGAATAGATCAAAATGGATACAATTAAGATCCTTGAAAGATTCTGCAAACAATAATCTTAGCAATAGGCAGGGAACCAATTCACCCTGTTGTTAATCACATTGTCCTTTCACAGTATGCAAGTAATTTGGTGTAAATAATGTACCCCGGTACTTTAAGAACAAGCTGTTGCTGAACCAAAGGGGTGTAGCTCCCAAGCTGCAGCATTCACCTGAATAATGCCTGACACATCATGGAAAAATTATTGTTTACTTCAATTCTTCTGCTGAAAATTATGTTACTTTGAATAATCAATGTAAAAAAAAAAAACAATACCAAAAAAAAAAATATATCAATAAAAGCAAACTGGGGTTGACTAATTATTCTGGTACATGATCATTCAAGCTTTTCAAATATGTTCAGTGCTTTGAATACAAGCTGTAATGTTGGGCCCCACCCTTAACCTAAACTATATGTTCAAGATGTATTTGTCTGTCTTCTTTTACATATTTTTTTTAGCTTTGATAACATCCTTTTTTTAAATCTATAGAGCTTAAGTTGTTGATGAACAATTTACAGCAAAATCAGCGCTAACTATTTTCATCCTCACAAGTTTGTCCTATAGTTGGATGAGAAACCAAGAGGTTCACTGTCCTCTCTATTTTATCCCAAAAGAGTTCTATTGTATGTTGAGGTCAGGAGTTTGTGCAGCCATGGATGCAACTAGACCGTCTCAATTTATTGATTCGAGAACCAATGCTTTTGAATTGTAGCAAATCTTTTCTTTGAAGTGAAAAACTGGTAGATCATATTGAGTCTCTGCTCCGTCCACAACAGACGTTTGCAGAGGTTTTGCTGTGCACTGTCTCATGATTACTACAGCATGCTTGTTCTGCAATCCTATGGCACCTCCTTTATGTCATTTCAGTAATGGGTTTTGTGGCTACCTACCAAGATTGGTCAAGAGTTGGATATTAATTGAATGATATCATATTTCCTCATTAGGATATTTCAGTTGATTATTGTCCCACCACACACGCATAGATCACATAACAAAACCGAATTTGAAAAAAAATTTCAATTTTTAAAGAACTACGCAGTTGTGTTAATGTTAAATAATTTGTCAAAATCTCTTAATCGCTGACATATATGTATTTTACATTAACTTCTAACCTCAGCTGTATATGAATATCCTCAACACCACCAATGCATCATTTTAGACGATTTAACTCATGCATCTCGTGGGGTATTAAAGCCAAAGAAGGAAAACAAATTAGCATATTGATGGATTAGCTGTTTATTCACTAGAGGAAATGACATTAATATTGCAGCAGTAAGTGACTGCATTTATTTGAATAAATCTATCCCAGCTTAATCAGATCTGATAACACATTACAACCATGTTAGTGAGTTTGTGTGTTTTATACTTCAAGTGTTTTTGAAGTTGTTGTTCTTTTCTTCTGTTTTTTGCAGGTGCTGTGGAGGTGAGAAAAGAAGGTCTGGAGGCTCAGGTCAATCGCCTTGCTGAATTGATTGGACGTCTTGAAAATAAGGTAACAGAAAAGTCTTACAAATTGCTTTGTTTTTTAGATAGATGGCAGTGTTACATTAATGCTCATGAGGGATTCACAAGCAGAACCCTTGCATCTAAATTAAAGTCCTGATCTTTAATGATATCTAAGCCATATCAGTAATAAAGAAACACATTTATTTATTTTATTTAAGGGTATTTGCTACACCTTGTCCTCAGACTGATCACAGGGTTAGGGTTACAGCAAATAATCTTTTACTGACTTGTTTGTGATGAATGTTATATTCTGTTGACCTTTGTAAATCACAGGATTTATCTAAACTTTAGTAAATAAATGGTTGGTATTTTTTTTTTATTTGATACATTTTATTGTTTATCACATATTTTTAGAAACGTTTTCAAGTTAGATGCATTTCTATGACATTCAAAGATTAGGAGTCTTGAGTTCATTTATGGTCAATGATCAGGAAGTTTTTATTGCATTTCCCTTTTTATTTCAATGTTAAAAGGCATTGTTCCTTTTTTAAGAGTTTCAGAGTTCCCTAGAGGCAAATATATGATCAAATAATGCCTTTAGCACTACGAAGAATTTATTGTTAAAAAATGCTTTTACTTTCTTCCAACCCAACAAAAAAGACTTGCCTTCAAAGCAAAGTCTTCTCTTTACATCTGGCTTTCCCCTTATTTCACGACGTTGGTGCATCACAACACTTCCATAGGCTGAACAAAGTCAGAGACCTCCAAATAAAACGATTTTCACTACTTAAACATTCGCTGAAAAATAATTTGCTGTGACTGTGCAGATTAGCTGCTGTAAGAGCCAGTTGGTCTCAAATTTGAGCTGGAATCATCATGCTCGTCCTAATATCCACCTCCTGGTTCAGAGAAAATGGCCGTCTGTTCACAGTGCTGGCACAGCCAGGAAAAGGTAGATGCTACCTGGAGGGAACCTTCTCATGTAGAGCCTTTTCATCCGCCTGTTTTCAAAGTACAGGGAGGGTCTGCAGCTCTGACAGTTGGGCTCATGGGGATTACCTACTGTAGAGATGCACGAATCAAGCAATATACCATTGTGTGCATGACTGTGATGAAGGAATACCATCATAAGTATTTATAGTAACTACTGCTTCTGGTGGAGCCTTTCCACATCAATAAATTGCATAAAGTCTAACCGAAGATTGATTTGCTGTTGTTTTAGGTTCAAGTGCAAAACGTAGGTAGATTACTTTCCTCACAGACCTATGGTTTGGGAACTAATTTGCATGATCCAGCATGATGTACCAAAACTACTGATGCAAAGTCTAGTACTACAACCAGAAATTATTTCTAATCCCCAGATAGGGATAAAGGAGGAAGAAAAATACGAAGTACCAACCATCTGCTGTCTACCCTTGTGCAGCTTGCACAGTTTTAGACTAACCTTGAAGATTTTTTTTGATGTAACAGAAATTACTTTTTTGCTGTGCTTGTTGTCAAAATGTCATTGACCGAAAATGTCAATCTCTCTGGGAGTTTAGATGCAATCTGACCCATCTGTTGTAAATATGAGGGCAGGATCTGCAGTGATATTTCTGGAACTTGATGGACCACCTGTGATGTGCTGAATCCGTCTTCTCCAACATGGTTTTTAATCACAGGGTTGTTCATGACACACATTTTATTTCAGCTTCAGTCTTCTTAGCAGTAGTCTGCTTAATCCCAGCCATTTTATTATGATCGCTGCATCTCTAAAGGTGATAGCAATTACAACAATACAGTCATTTTAAGCACCTCTGTCCATCTATACTAGCAATCTAATTGAATTTAGCAGAATTTTATTGGTGTAGATTTTTTAGAACTTTCATAATTCAAACTGAAGTAATGACATTATTTGATCAGACCCTTTCGTAACTATTTTATTCAGGGAGCTGAAAGTGACAATACATTTCTCTTCAATATCTAAAGACAACAGCCTTGAAATCTTTAGCTATGACTGCAGTTGTCAAAATAAAACAGTATGTGTTTGTCAAGCTGATTACATTTGTGTGCATAAAACATGAGTTTTTTTCATATCGTAATCAAACTTCATGCATTGCTTTGAGCTGCAAAAAAAATCATCTGTTGAATATGCAAATTGGAATCTTTATTTCTCTTAATAAGAGAAACTTGGTGTCAAGCTAATCACTTTCAATAATATATTCACTAATGTGAACAAATTAATGTGGTTACATACCAGATATGGATTTATAAGCTTAGATCTATTTAATATGCATAATTTAGTGTTTTAGCCATGTTAGTACAGTTATTCAACTCTTTGCAAGAGCAGGTTCTTGCATAAACGGCTCTTCCACTGAGGAGTGTAGGGATAAAATGAATGAAAAACATCTGATTTCAGCAAAAAGCAGGAGCTCCTGCTTCTCTATTGACTGGTCAGAAATAAGGGAATCAGTTTAAACCACAACTGACAGAGTGTGTTAAACTGCAGTGCATGACGTTCAAAGATTTTGCTGAACCATTTAAAACTTTATTGGCAGCAATTGCAGAGGTGATTGGACTCCTGAAACAAGGTTGGAGAGGATATTGAACATGATCAAAAACCAGTATATTTGTAATCTGGTGAGGTTTCAGAGCACCATACATGTAGCATAAAAAATCTTCATCTGCTTTTTTAAATAACAATTTCCCCTTACATCAGTATTCTTTCTGTCACATGCCAAGACATAAGAATATTTAGAAATGATGCATGTGAGGATAGGTTCCTGAGCAATGGAGCAACTAGAGCAGCAGCTCCACCATTTATGAAGGGGGAACAATCTGTTTCCAGCTGAACAATGGTGAAAGCCTCATTATTCTTACAGCAGGTTGTAAATGTAGTTGTAAAATCTTTGGATATAACCAACAGGATAAAAAACAACAATATCAAGAATCAAACCCACGATTTCCTGGAGAATGAGACAGTGATTTAGACCTCTACACCATAAGTCCAGCACATCATAGGGCACATCATAGCCACTCTCAGGGTTGTACGTTTCATTCTCTTGTATTGCTTTGTGAACTACTGGTGAAATTGTTTAAATCCATCTTTGATCGTATATTACACACAGTAAAGGGAGGTATTTGGTCATTCTCCATATTCATCAACATCTGCTCTCATATTTTACAGTGGGACCAGGCCTTTATGCATGTGTGTGTGTATATAATATTTCTGCTGTTTATCCATGCTGCTAAGCTTCCTCACTCTGTATGGGATTTTCTTTTTTTTTTTGTGTAAAGTGAATGAAGCAGTATTAGGACCACAAAGGCTGCAGGCAGTGGCTGCATTCAGAGAACGTGAGAAGAAAATCAGCGGGATAAGAAGTGCAAAGGCTCAGAGATGTTTAATAAGGAGCTGTTGTTGGATAAGCGAGGAGTTTTTTCATCACGTAGGGATGATGAAGGGAGGAAGGGCTCTAAGACAGTAAAAGTATTTCACTTTCCTTTTCCTTAGGCAACTTCACAATTCAAGACATCACCTTATCTTCCTCATTCTCATTTCTTATGTCCTTCATCCTCTTCTTTACATCTGTTTTTAGTGCTGAGCCTTTTATGTCTAATGGACTCTTAGCTTCAGCTCTCTTTGCAAAAGCAAGCAGCCTTGACAGAAAGAAAAAATTATAACAAAACACTACTGTATATGCTGCAGGGGGAATAGGAGAATAAAGATGTGGAGGAGGGAGAGAACATGTTTCCTCACTTCCTTTAGTAGAATAAGCCTTTAGCTTGAAGCCAAACTGGGATTTCCTATAACAAATGAGTTAAATGGGTTAAAGTAAAACTATTTTCTACAGTCCAGTGACCTCGATTTTGGCAGCAATGATTGAAACACCTTTAAAGAGATGTTCTTTAATCACCTGTGGCCCCCAAAGGCCCCAGGGAGCAAATTACTTCTACCAGGTTGTTTGAAGCCACTGTGGCTTGAAGAAAATCTCTTTTTACAGTTGATTAAACTCAGTGAGGGTCTATTTTTTAAACACACTCAAACAGAAAAGAAAATATTGATTCTGTTTGTCATTTTTGCTTTATTCTATGAGGAGGAAGTAAAGATGGTGACAATAATTTAATTCCCTAATTTGCTTCATGTTTGCTTAAGTTGCAGAACCAAAGATTATAATATCAGTTTTCATGCCTTTTAACACACAAAATAGGAAAATTGTGGCATTTATTTGCATGTAGTCCATTTTTGGCAATGGCATGCACATTTAAAGTTGATATGTATAATAGAGTACAATTAATAGGAATTAATAGGGTTTAAGACTCCAACAATGTTGAATGTTAGGAGATGAAAAATTTGGTCTTTAATTATTTGCAAAAAATAATTTACACAAGTCAACTTGGATATAAAGCACAAAATAATCAATTTTAAGGATTTGAAACAACATTTTAATGTCAGGGTTGGGTGGAATTTGGTTGAGGACACAAATGCAGAGATGATGAGAGGTTAGAGATGAGTTTTTGCTATTTAATGCAAACAGAAACAAAATCCAAGAACCAAAATAAAGGAAACTAAAAACCAGAAGTTACCAGCAAAGAGTAACTGAACAGGTGGTGTATTATGGGAGACAGAAACAATTGGAGGATTCATTATCTGATAGGGAGCAGGTGTTGACAGAAGTAACTAGAAAGGAGCTAAGGGAAAGGAGACCAGCACGAGGTGGCAATAGAGAGTAAATCAAAAAATGCAACAGTGCTTAAATATAACACAAAATGGAAAAGAAACCAGTGAACAAGAAAACACAGAATGACATTCCGTAATTTTCGGACTATAAGCCGCGACTTTTTCCCCATTTTTCGACCTTGCGGCTTATATTACAATGCGGCTTATCTATGGACTTTTACAGCTAACGGCCACTAGGGTAATACCTAAATCTATGGATTTTACCATCCACCATGTTGACGTCAAATTTGCTTCAACACACAAGCACGGTAGCCGTGAGCGCGGGAATGTGGAGGTCCTCCGGAAGCAGACTTCTACCGCGAGTCGTACGAGACAGAACGACAGCGAGAAAGACGGACATTACGAGCGCAAGACAGTTTGTGTGACACCCTCATTATGGAAAACAAACGTACCGGTAGAAATGCATATGATGCAGCTTTTAATTTAACCAGAGATGGCAAAAGTATTCACTTTCCGTACTTGAGTAAAAGTACAGATACTTGTGTTAAAAAATACTCTGGTAAAAGTGGAAGTACTGATTAAACTTCTTTACTCAAGTAAAAGTAACAAAGTACAGGCTTGTAAAAATAAAAGTAAAAGTAGAAACCACTTTTTTTATGTCGTTGCCTACATTTTAAATGGATGTCTGCCAATAGGACTAGATCTCCGTTGTGTTCATTTTCAATCATCTCGTCGTCCATACTACTATGCTAACGCCACCGCCACCAAGCTGCAATGATTTGCCGCAAATGAATACCGCCGAATCTGTCGATTCATCTTGTAGTGGTGCGTCAAATGCAACGTAGATTCCCATACAATTAGATTGAATTTGGTATTGATGACGTGAAAAATAACGGTAACTCCATTGAAATGATTCAAAACTAAAGTAACGAGCCAATTTTTTTAAATGTAAGGAGTAGAAAGTACAGATATTTGTGTAAAAATGTAAGGAGTAGAAGTAAAAAGTCACCATAAAAACAAGTAGTAAAGTAAAGTAAAAATATCAGAAAAATCTACTTGAGTACAGTAACGAAGTATTTGTACTTCGTTACTTCCCATCTCTGAAGTTAACGTATGCAAATATGCAAATTGTGTTGAAATGTTAATAAATATGAGCTTCCCCAAACAGTTGCCTCTTTCCTGACAATCCTCTCTGTGCACGGACCATATGGTAATTAAACATAAAAAACCTGCTGCTCATAGTCCGGAGCGGCTTGTATATGTACAAATCATGCAATTTACTGTAGCTTATGCAGCTTATATTCAGGTGCGGCTAATAGTCCGAAAATTACGGTAAATCAAATTGGAAATAAAAACTTAAAAAGAGACTCAGACAAAGTCCACATAGGGCACAATCATGACAGTTAATTGAATTTAGGTCTGAACTTTGTTTAGGCTATTTAAACACAATAATATTCTAGGATGCAAACAGGACCATTGTAAACTTTGTGGACTTAATCTGGTTATCTTATAATATTATCCTGTGTTTTATTTAATCTATGGTCTCAACTCTGGTAAGCTCCTACTGAAACAGATGCAAAGCACAAAGAAGTCACTGCCATCTTTTATTATGTGCCGGCTATGTAGAAGTGCTGTTAGAAAGAGAATTCCGTTTTTTGTTGTTGTTGGACCTTGTGCTTTAAAAATAATGAGAGATCCGTTAAAATACACATGTCTGCCAGATTACAGAGTGCAGTACTGCAGATAAAAAATGACAATATTAGAGAAAGAAGACGAGACAAAGGTATTGTAAAAGCATCCTGCTGTTTTAGCAAATGCTTCAAGCTCAGATCTTCCTACTGACACTGTGCAGGTGTCTGGAAGAGGAAATGATAATATCACACTGCGTCAGAGCAAATCACAATTTGTTTACTGAATGAATAATGGGCCGATCACACACCGAGTGATGTTATATGTGGCAAGATGAAAATACTGCCCTGCGTTGGCACCACTGCTCTGATTACATGCTGGAAATCCTGTTGCTTGCTCAAAAGGTAAATCCATTCAGCCTCTGCTTCTGGCTGTCGTTCTGACATTCTCCTGCTGTCTTTCATGTTCTTGGTTTGCAAACTATTATTATTTATTACTATTTGAGTCCTGCAAACAGGAAAATGCTTCTTTGCAGGAACACAAAAGCCTTGGTTTTATGGAGGTCTGGTGAAGTATTCATGAAAGGATTAAAGATAAGCAATTACATTTCAGCCAAAAGAAATAAAGCTGTAGGCTATATAATACTTTGATAGGTTCCAGATACAGAAAGCTCAACTTAATTGATATAAAAATAAGTTATTTAATTTTTACATAGTAGACATAGTAAAACATCTTGAAGATGCACATGAGGATCCTTATTTTATGCTTTTGATTGTCTCCTTGTGGTCATCGAATGCCGTTGTTGCTTCCAACAGTGAGCCATTATGAAAGCCAAACACACCACCAGATAGTTATAGCTAACTTGACCCTTTCTCACATACCCTGTATTCTGTTTAGAGGGGAGTCTAATCTTTCATGTGCTGAACAACCAGCAACACAAAGCCCATTCTTTTTTTCAGTTTAGCTGTGGCAGTGCTGTCAGACCAAGCTTCAATTTCTAATCCCTGAACTGTGTATGTTTTGAGGACAACAACCAGACCCTCTGTCCTTACATTTTCCCTCTGTTTGGTAAAAGTCAGTCAGCCTCTGAGTCACTCAGTGTTTTGATTTGTCACTTACTGTTGCTTGTTCGATCTGGCTTATGTAACTATGGAGTCACTGAGTGTCAAAGCGAAGGAGAAAAGTGACTTTCTTGTCATCCTTGCACACAGTTATCAGGCCACCTGGCTAAGCCACTGTCTTTAGATAGCATCCAGTTCTAACTAATTACATCCCAGTTATCTAACTTGAACTTGATCAAGCCTGTTTGTTTAAATCTAAATAAAGGAAGAATAATTTTACAAGTAAATGTAAGTGTAATGGGTTGTTGCATCCATTCATCATTTAAAATGTTTTTCTTTTTTGAATAATCTTTGTATAAAAGTATAAAATCTCCTCCTTTTGTTCCTGGTTCTACTCTTATCGTGTGCACTGACACCTGTCATTGTGCTTTTAGCTGCTGCTGTTGTTGTACAGTAGTTGCCCCTGTTGATTGACACCTTACTGATGTTGCTGGTGTTGTGTTTCTGGTTACAGACAGTCTGGTTTGATCTGCACCAGAGGCTAACAGATACCGATGGCACCCCAAGTGCAGTAAGTAGACCAAACATTTAATGAATACATCCTGTGCCTTACAACCTGGCATGCAGCCTCCGGACCAGTATCTCTGTCCTGTTGCCTGCAGGGTGCTAAACTAATAGTGAGGCATCATGAAAGGGATCACAGTTGTTTCCCAGGAAACAGAGGCGGGCTTGTTTTGTTGTCCAGATTTTTATATTCAAGGGTTTAAACATTTTTATCTCTATTTTAGCTGCAGATTAAATAAACATTTTATCACCTGTTTTGAAAGCAATGCCATATTTTTATGGTTTGAGAGCTTTTTTTTTTTTTTTGAAGATGTATGATTCACAGAAAACCTCAGACAAAACAATTAATAAAAACACAATTTCAGAATTTAAAAAAATACTTCCTTTTTAATTGCAGACTAATAGGCATAATAATGCATTTGTTTTTGCAGCAGGAGGGAAAAGATCCGTAAAGCACCATTAAAAAAATTAAAAAGTGACATACAGTGCAACTCATCCCCCTTGTTTCTCCATTTTGTAATTTACCGTAACACTAAATTTCATTTTACAGAACCTCATTTGTATACTACAAATAATTATAATGAGACTGGTTACCTTTGAGCTGTAATTTGATTTTAGGTCATTAATGCAGCTGTTTTTGGCCTTGGAGCACTGAAAAAATATGGCATGCATATTTTGTATCTACTTGAGCAAATATAATTACTTTAGCACAATTGTTTCATTTTCTACCCTGCTAATATTAAAAATTGTGTTAGAGTAACTAAATATGCTTAAGTAGATAAAAAAAATGCAAGAAAAAGTGTAGAAGATCTTTGTAAAAAAAAAATAAAAAATTACATGGTGACCAAAAGCAGCAGGCATTTCCAGCTGGGTTCAGGTTAAAAAAAAAGCATATTCCTATGAGCTTTGATATTTGTAGCGCCGTTCAGTGCAGCACCTAAAAATGTAAAGGCTGTGGCACAAGATATGTATAAAGATATTACTGTTCACGTATTGACAGAGTGGACATGTTTGGTAACTTTGGAGGAGCCTCAGAGATTCTTTAACCCCTAGTTGTTCGAGGCAGATAGCTAAGGAGAAAAAGAACTGGACTGTTGCCTCATTGTCTAATGTAATCTTTTTAGATAAAAATAAAGTTTGCATTTCATTTGGAGTCAGGGGGAAGGAAAAGAATCCATGTTGCTGAAATTTAATTGGGAAGTCAGTGCAGTTGCTTGGAAAATTTAGAGCACCTCAAACAAGCTTCTACTGAAAAAGTTAATTGAGGTCTTTATTTTATTTTCCAGCAGGATTTGACCCTTGCCTCCCCAAATTACCAACAGCAGGTTTAATGACCATGTTTTTTCGGATTGTGATTGGGCAGCAATCTCCCCGGCGGTTCATTGCATTGAAGTGACCAACCAGCAAAAGGAGGCTCAACCTCTTATTGAATATTAATAAGTTTGAAATTTGTGTTTAAATTGTGTCCAGGCTGAATTACCAAGAAGAATTTATGGCAGACTTAGAAAAGTGTATCCTTACAGACATTCTATAGCAAAACAGATCTTGAGCTTTTCGTTTTGTCTTTTTGGTTTTTGTTTCAAATAAAAGATCACAGTTTAATATGTAGTCCCCCAAAAAAACTTCCAATATAATTTTTACAAAATGCGGCTCTACAAGTTATTGCTTTAATTTAGCTGTGTAATTATGAATTATTTAACATTTATTATAAATTGGTTGTTCTTGTAGTTCAATTATATTCCAGCACCACATAAAATTACAATAATGAATTAAAGGGTGTGGTTATAATGTGACCTGCTTAAGAAGTAAATATGTATAAATATTTTTGTCATTGTTAGAAATAATTTAAACTAATGTCTTTTAGGGGTTCTTCTAATAAGAAAACAGAGAAGAGCTTAAAGCTTGAGGAGCTTCAGCATACCTGACATATATTAAAACTGTTACAAATGACATGTTTACATTTCTAAAAAATAAAAAAAAGCCCAGAACTTTCTCTTAGAAGCATTTTGTACAGAGAAACAGATTAATCATCAAGACACATCTCATTGTTTCAGAATGATTTATTCTACGAGAAACCATGAATAATCTCAAACAGCAAGCCAAGACATGCACAAGTAAATAGAATAAAATGCTATTTTTTAGGTTTCTCGATTTTAAAAACCATGTTTAGTTTGACAGACCAATTAATGTCCATCATTACCAACAACTGCTGTTGCCATCTATAGCTGTTTAAAGTGCAGTAATCATCCATGTGGACCTGTGATCTGTAATCATCTTTATTAAACTGGGAGAGGATAATCACTGTTTTGTTGCATCATTACACAAATGAACAGCCGAAAGTGGATTTCGGCTCTGGATGCTGAAACTGGGGGTGAAAATAAAGGAGTTTGAAAAAAACAGACACCTTTTTATATTAGAAGCTATTATGGTCACACAAAACTGTTGAAATATGCTTTAATGAAGATGAGCATTAAACATTTATAGCTCCAAAATGTTTATCAGTGAAGCTGTTAATGGATTTAATTATAGTTGTTGCCTTTTAAACCATTGTTTAAAAAATAAACTTAATTTTGTTGATAAAACATGCTCAAAAAGAGATTTACTTGAATGCTTTTTTTTTTTTTACTCTGGCCTGTTTTTTTCAAAACTACACAATATAATGCATGACCATGGACAACCATAGAAAAAAATGATAAAGCAATTCAATTTCATTTTTCTTTTGTTTCTTCTTTTTTTTTGGGACATTTCCTCCACATGCTATTTGCAATGGAATCAACAACTATGATTTCAAAAATAAAGAAAATTGTTCCTATATGTTTACCAGGGTGTTTTAAAATAGTTTATATAAAAAATGCTGACTCATGAAATTTATTGATTGATTATTGTAAGAACAGTTTAGAGAATTTAGACTAATCAGTGAATTATTTATAAAAGTACAAAAGTACTGGACACAAGTAGGACCAGGTTTAAGCCCAGTTCAGCCTGGTATGGTTTGGAGTGGCCTTTAAAGATATAGTGGAGGATGTTATTTTTCTGGGTGGATTATTAAAAATAAGTGATCCTCCTTATTGTTAATCATTCTGCTGATGTTTACGTAAGGCTGTCCTTCTTGTTCATCCCCATTTTCACTCACTGGTGGTTAGTCTGACATAGTGGAAAAATTGCAAATCTTCTTTTGGAAATTAAGCTTGTATGAGCGATGCACACAGCAACTTTTAAAGTGTGCAGTAGTGTGGCAAAATGGGCTTGTGGATGCTCTTACACGTGTGTAATAGGCGTTCCCTCTCAGGAGCGGGTACAGGGTTTTGCATGTGCTTTTTTTTTTAAGTGGAAAGGGGGCGGGTCTTTTCAAGAATTCGCGAAAATCCTAAACTATACCTTTAATTAAAATGCATGATAGATGCAAGGGAAACTGGGATTTTAATGTGAATACTTAATTTTAAGTATGAAAAGCTTTTTTTTTAACACTTAAAGGTACCTGTTTAAATATGTTTGATAGGAATAAAACAAAAAGTACCTTATTATTAAAAGTAAATTGATAAGTAAAAAAAAAATTTTAAGATATACCCTAAACCACAAGCTAGCCTTGAAAATTAATAATTTTCACTCCCATTTTCTGATGTCAAAAAGCCTAGGATTGGACTACATTCCTTGGATCTCCAGAGAGTAACTTTATTCTATGAAAAGATCAATTGTCAATCCAGCATTGCACACTGAACCTCTATCTGGCACAGTTTTTTACATTTTCTCTTTTCTTTCCTGCTCCTCCTCGTTTTTACATCACTTCTCCTCCTGGTCCACTCTCTCCTCTACTGTTTCTTCCTCCTCCTCCTGCTCCTCCTCCTTCTCCTCACTCCTAGCACTTTATCCTGTCCATATGCATCAACTGCATGACTACAACTGACATAGACTTTCTAAAAAGCAATAATAGCACCAATGATAAACACCATGGATTTCAGTGTCAAATAAAAATACAACATTAAAAACAAAATACGAACAGTGTTGCATACACAGGCCATAAGTAAATTACAGTTACAGTTTGTATTACTCTTGACCGTGTAAGAACGATGTACATTACAAACAGCACCGGAAAAGAGGGTCTTATAATATGATCTTCTTAACTTTGAAAAAGATACTTTTTTTCTCTTAAGCAAACTCTGTCCTGTTATTCAACCCCCCTGGCTGTCAAAAAAGCGAATTTATTTGTTGGGGACAAAATTTGGCAAAGATGCATACACATGTTTTTTTTTATAATTCCTTACTAGCTTATTTAAAAATGGTTAAACAGTGTCAGCACAGAGAAGCAGACTTTTTTTGGTGTTTCAGAAGCAAACTTTCTCTAGGCAATTAAAAACAAGATGTCTTAGACTTTTAAAGTGTTATTTTGTAGTTATTTAGAGAAACACTGACTGTACACATACGTATAAACATATGTAAAAAATTATACAAGATACAATATTTGTTTTTTTCAGGACAACCCGAAACTACAGTCAGTTGATGCATGACTTTTCATATATTATTTTCACTCTTCACCTTTAACAAACATGAATCTTGTTCTATACCATCTTTGGAAACAATATCGATTTGATGAATAATCAACTAAGAGAAATGTTACAATTAGGCTTTTGTTAGTGAAGTAAAGGAGTTTTTTTTTATGGTGGTTTTAGTTTGAAAAACGAAATATAAAAAGAATGTGATGCATGGAAAAAAGCAATAAAAGCCCAAATATCTTAATTAAGAAACAAGCAATCTCCTCGGGTAAAACACGGTTTGCAAAAATAACTAAATAACCAATATCCTGTTCAAGCCAAATATTAAGACCCTGCTAAAGTCTAAAGTAAAGCCTATTATCTCGTTTTGGAAAATCAGAGCCACTCTCCTTGAGTGTAATCACAATATTTTACAAAAGATTAGTTTGTGTGTTTTTTTTTTTAAATACTTTCACCTTGAATTCTACAGTAATTGAAATAAACCTATGTTTTCCTTTTAAATAAAGTCCAAAATTCA